CGCCTCCGAGAACTCCAGGGGCCGCGCCAAGCGCAGGAGCGCGACGTCGTAGTCGGTGAGGAGGCGGCGGTACTTCTCGTGCACTATCACCTCCGCCACGCCCACCTCCAGCCCTCCCCTGCCGTTGAGGCTGGTGCCCGCGCGCACGCTGTATGTGCCCGAGCTGCAACATCAAAAGCCCGCTTGCCTTAATAATAACAATAATAATAATAATAATAATAATAATAATAATAATAATAATAATAATAATAATAATTATATTAATCTTTCGGACTGTATAATAGCAATAAATATTAAGTAGAGCTGATGCAGGCGAAAATAAATTTTAAATAAATTAGTAAAATTTCATAGAAGTAATATACGAAAGGGTCGCAATACATTATCTGTGAATTTTCAAAAATGTAAAAGTTCAAATTTTTCGGTCTCTTCCTAGATCTTCAACTTTGTAGATAGAGTTTTTTCTTCTTAATAAAATCTGTTGTTCAAAGACATCTTCAGATCAAGTTATGACGAATGTTTCGAAAATATGAGTTGTTTTCCCTTAATTTTGCGTCTATTTTTAATCAATTATATCCTCAAAAACGACTCTAAATTTTTTCCTTAATTTCCCCCCCTTATGTAGCCAAGGGCAGGAAACAAATAGTGCTATTCCCATTTTCAGCGAACTATCTTGTATTTTAGAATATTGCAGAAAAAGCACATTGCAAAAGGACATTGACGATAGATGTTTTCTTCAATATATTTTTTCTAAAAAAATAGACTTTTGAATAAGGTCGTGTACAATTTTTTTGAAAAAAAAACAATATTTATCGCATAATTAATGCCTTAAGTTAATGCAGTTTATCGATATTTCCAAAGCAGTTCCAATTTTTTTTTAAAAAATTAATGGATAGAGCAAAGAACACTTTTAAAGATGGAACAGGTCTCATTGTGTTTGAACTTTGTATTTGAAAAATAATGTGAGAAACCATTAATTTTTTATCTTGATGCAGAGGAAAAAAAATGCTGGATGAAAAGACTTTTGGGGGATCATGTAATGCAATATTGGGTAGCCGTTACAATAGTGCGGGAAAGGGAGTTGTAGCATCAATAGATTTTTAAACTGACCATCATAAGGTGTCTTTGAAAATTATCTCCCTCTCCAGTGTGGTAAATGTACTTTAATGATTATAAATAATAATAATAATAATAATAATAATAATAACAACATTTAATAACTATTTAAATTTATATTATACGTACATATTTAATAGTATATTTTGAGTATTTATAAATAATTATGATAACTCTTATTTCGGTGCTTAATAGTATTACGAGGAAACTTAAGTCGTTTTCCGCTGGTTTGATTTTTCGTTGATATTAATATATTTTTTTCCAATCCTACTAAACGATTAGAATGAAATTTTCACAGGTCATTGAGCTTATTTCTATATTTCACCGAATGAATTTTCAAGAAAATTGAAGTTAATAGTTAGTGTGTTCAAAAATGGTGCGATAAATACAAAAATTCATAAATGTTTTTTTAACTATGAGTTTAATTTTAAACTTTCCCTGATCAAAATGTGCACACAAGTATGAAGTTTGACTTCGTTTTTTATGCTTTCTTGTTTACAGTTTTTAAGAAAAGAAATGGTGAAATTTGTCAAATTAGTATGGCGGGATAGGATATTTCGGAACCCCTTAACGTGTAAAATATTGTTTACAGAGTTAGAGATGATGAGAAGCGCATAGGTGATGCTGGCACTTACTACCCCGTGCAGTGGGCTGCGGTGAGAATGTAGTTGGCGTGGATGATGGACCCACCGCAGAAGTGCCGGCCATTTCGTTGCACAGACACCTAAGGGCACCAAGCACTGTGTTAGGTTTCGTCCTTTTTTGAACTCCATTTCTCACCAATATTCCTTCAGTAAGTCGTCCAGTTAATGTAGAATTTTCAAACTTACCTGATAGGGGTGAAATTTGATGTCAGTGTTAGACCCTCCGACGATGCGTCCATTAGCAAAATTTGGCTCCAAATCGGCACCTGAAAAGTGTTTCCATGTTAACGCTTTTATTAAAAGCAGGGTGGAAGTTAACGACCAATTTCGCCAGCTCAAATGGTATGAAACAAATTAAACAAACACTGAGATTTAAAAGTGATTGATCAGTATGTACTATTTATATAATAAATATAAAATGTACAAAATATCAATTTGGATTAGAATAAAGCGGATGCAAAGAATGACTTAATTCAAGTATTGCATAGTGCTGTATACTCGTAAATTAAAAATTGGAAAGAATACTTAACACATTATA